CACGGCCTCTCCACCAATCAGTGGCGAGGGCTAAAGCCACTGTGAAATGCCTGTGAAACTGGATCTTTGTGCTGTGACCAAGCCGCAAAAATTCCTTTTGGCCATAAATTTCTTTGGCCATAAAATTAAATAGGACCCTATACGCACATGTGTGTGTGTAAATATGTAAATTAAGCACTACCTATATAAAAAAGTGAGATGGGAAGGAGCTATGCATATTGCGTATGTTCTGGCATTGACATTTCACCTTGCAAGAGCTTATATGATATTCCATTCACCAAACATCAAGAAGACTCTTTGGCTAAGTAAATAGAAATCCTTGTGAATCTGATCCTTTATGTTCCAGGACATCAGATTTATAAAGGTAAAGGGTCACGTAGCCAGTTGCCTTTAGGGCTGCCTGGCTTCCTAACTGCTAGAGCAGCTAGTATCCAGCTGCTGGAATCACAGACCCACCTATGCCAGAAGTCTGGAAGTTGTGTGGTTCCAGGTTCTTGGACAGTCCATACAGTGGAACCACCTAGAGCCATGGTCCCTGGAAACCTTCAGGCCCAAGGTCTAAGTCAGTCCTTCAGGTGAGCTGCTACATAGCTGAGCAGGAGATCTGGCAGGAAGTGATATTTCTGGCAGAAATCTTGCTGGCAAGCAGTTTTTTTTTACCATTGCCTCTAGGGTCCTTCAGAAGATTTGTCAAAATCAACACTTCTGCGGAACATTTACCTGCAACAAGTCAGCATTTTTAAATAAGATATGTTCTGTATATAAATAGTAAGCAATTATTGTGATAATGTAATTTACTATAATGGGGGGACTGTATTGACATGATATATTTGACTTCTCCTTTTTTACAACAGGAGTACTAATCATAGCTACTCCTTTGGATCATGAGATTCAAGATTACTATAATTTGACGATCATGGCTCTTGATGATGGCACACCAGTACTCTCTGCGACACAGATTGTGACTATAATGATTCTTGATGTGAATGATGAGAGACCACAGTTCCAAAGGCAACTGTATGAAGCTACAGTCTGTGAAAACAAAGATCCAGGGGAATTTGTCATTAAGGTGGAAGCTGTAGACAGAGATTCAGGTAATTTACTTTACATTACTTTAAACAAATTCAGAGAACTGCTAGGCAGGATCCCATAGGAAATATAAGTGGATGAGGAAAAGATGTGTAGGATTGCTGATTTACTGTAAAGAGTCCATATGAAGGGCACAAGAGCAGGTTATCCATATGCAAACAATGGATAGGACATGCAGTCAGATACCAAATTAGCTAAACAGTAAAATGTTTAAAAAGTTGAAACTTAAAAAGGAGTTTTAGAAAAAGAAGCTTGGCCATATTACTAAGGATGAGTGTATAAGACTATGGCCCCTGACAGACATTACACTTATTGTGTGATTAATGAGTTAATCATGCAGTAAATTGTGACATGCCACATATTCAGGCAGTTCATCATGTAAGAAAAAAGGTGAACCAGCTACCAAAATGGTGAACTAGTCTCAAAGATGTCACATGTTAAATGTGGCTCATTATTTGTGGCTCATTTGTATTGTGCTTACATTTGAACATGTAGCATAGCATAGACACATAGGGAGAAAATCAAGAAGGCCAAGATACAAAAAGCTACCAAGAGACATAAGATAACAAAAGAACATCCTATAACTATGTTACAAGTAAGAGGACGACTGAGGAAAATGTAGGTTCATTAAATGCAAGGGACAATCAACAAAGGAAGGTACACTTAGTGGGGGTTTTTATCTTTTTTACTCCTGTCTTGTCTGCCCAAATAATGCCAGCTATCAGATGATAAACACAGTTAGCAATAAGAGTAGGGGAAGAATGATCAGTTTAGTAGGAAAAGAACAGATTAGAGAATCCTTAGAGAAGCTGGATGTTTTAGTCACCAGGGACAGATGAGATTCATCCTGGAAAATTCAAGGAATTTACTGAGTTAATTGCACAGCCATTGCCTGTTCTCTTTGAGAACTCATGGGCTAAGTCAAAAAGTCAGAGGCTGAATCAATTCAAACTAGGCAGCTTCCTCTAAACTGCCTTTAAGCGCTACCTATATAAAAGAGTGGGATGGGAAGGAGCTATGCATATTGCATGTGTTCTGACATTGACATTTCAGCTAGCAAAAGCTTGTATTGATTCCCCAAACTCCTGATGTCCCCCCGCAAGGGGTTGAAGAGCCTGCTCTCCGGGTGCTGGCCCACCTTGGGGGAACCTCCCCCTCTGGAGGTTTCCCCCGGCCTCGGTTCCCCAGCCCAGGCAGCCCTGGGGAGCTGAGGGGAATTCCTCCCCTTCTCCTTCCCAGCAGCTGATTGCTTCAGCCACTGCCGCAGAAGCAAAGGAGAAGAAGTCCTCCCCACCAGGTGTCTGCCCTTGCAGCCCAGCATGGGGGCACCGGAGCCCCCACCTTGTGGGGCTTCTCACCACCCCAGCCCAGGGTCCTGCAGCCCCAGGAGCTGAGGGGAACTCTTCCCAACCCCACCCATTTGCCTTAATTGCCTGCTGCAGTCTCAGGGGTAGCCCAGTGATTGGAGGGAAATTCCTTTGCTCCCCTGCATTTGTTTTGCCTCAGACTCACAGCAACTAAGGCAAAATTGGCCGTGGAGGAGCAGGAGAACTTCCCTTTGCTCCCTCAAGCTGCCTGAGACTCGCAGGGGCTGAAATAAGGTTCTAAGGCAAGATAAGGGAGGGGAAGATTTCCCTCAGCTCCCTGGGGCTGCCTGGGGCTTGGGGACCCTGGACTGGGATGGCGGGAAGCCCCCCAAGGCAGCAGCTCCCTGCTGTCCCCATGCTGGGCTGCATGGGCAGGCACCCAGCCAGAAGGACTTCGTCTCCCTCCCTCATGTGGCAGTTGCTGAAGCAATCAGCAGCTGGGAAGGAGGAAAGGGAGAGGGCTGTCAGGGTCTGAAATGCCGACACCAAAGGGGCTTTCCTTTCCCCCACATGCTGTGTAGACCCTGGCTAGGAAGGGCTGGGGGTCTGTTCCCTTGCCTCCCTGTCCCTATGGGCTGACAGACACAGGCAGGAAGCAGGTTGAGCAGAGAGGTGAGGCAGTCCCTGTTCCACTGGAGCAGGCAGCGTAGTCCAGGGCTGCAAAGCATCCTGGGATGCTGGAGGACTGTGAGTTAACTTGAGCCAGGAAGGGATCTGGGACAGAAGTTCCATAAGCTGGTTTGACCTAAATCAGTTAAGTCTGATACTACATCCAACCATGTTTATCTTAAACCAGTTTTGGTAATTTTGAAAGCAGTTTTTGTGCACTGAACTTATGTTCTGTTTACAGGTTTAAATCAGTTTCTGATCACTTAAACCAGTTTATGTGTAACTTCTGTCCCTAGCCGTGAAGATCAGATGAAGTCCTGGATGACTAGAAAAAGGCAAATGTAGTGTTCATTTTTAAAAAACAGAGAACAGCCAGGAAATTACAGAGCAGATAGTCTAAATTTGATACCCAGACAGATTATGGAGCACTTAATAAAAGAATCTTTTCTTTCTTTTTTTTTTAAGCACTTACAGTAGTGGTGCTCGACCTCCAGCCTGCAGAGCTGGATCATCCAGCCTGTGGGGCTCCCCATGGGTCCAGGTATTTGGCAGTGGAAGAGCAATAGCAGTATTAATTGCTCATAGAGCTGTTAACTGCTGCGTTAACTGCTCCCAAAGCAAGTCGTGGTTAACCAACCTGATATCCTTCTCCAACAAGGTTATGGGCTTTTTAAATTGAAGAAAGCGCAGTGGATGTGATATGTATCAACTGTTTCCTATGACATTGTCATTATTTAGCCAAGGAAATGCAGAACTACTGCAAGGTTGGTAGAGAGAGAGAGCAACAAAAATGGTTAGTGATCTAGCAAACATAATTTATGAGGAAAGGCTGGAAAAACTGGAATTATTTAAGGAGAAGACATGGCTGAAGTGTGATTTCATAATAGTCTTCAAACAAATGAAGGGTGGTTATAAAGAAGGTGGTAATAAACTATTTTTGTCATATGAGACAAGACAAGAAGTAATGGTTTCTAAATTGCAGCAAGGTAAATTTTGTTTGGATATTAGGAAAAAAAATTCTCACTATGAGGGTGGTTAGATTGTGGAATCTCTATCCTTGGAAGTTTTTAAGAAAGTTTTTAAACAAACCTTGGAATGAGATTCTTTAGGCACAGTTGACACTCCCTTAAGCAGTGGTTTGAACTGGGGTCCTGAGGTCCCTTCTGGCCCTATTTTTCTATGATTCTATGATTACTTTCATATTGGATGTAATTTAATGACAGACTTTGGTTCATGCTTGCCACCTAATTTTGTTCCCAGATTATAGATGGTTCTGAGTTCTGAAATCTACCTCTGGGTTCATATTTTTACTCCTGCAAAGTTTGCAGGCATTTTTTTCTTCAGGATTGGGCTGGATCAATTTTTAATACACATAGGATTTGTCTACACAAGACTCTATGATGCCATAGCAATGTGTTATAGCATCTGCTGACAAAAAACGTAATGCCACTGATACATCGCTGTAGCAAGGCGCTCCCTTGTTCTAGCACGTTGCTATGGTGATGTAGCAGTCAAAAATAACCATGCATGGCCAGCATGGTGCAGTATGGGCTGTTACTGCACTGTCTTTTAGTACTTCCAAAAGGAAGTACTAAATGATGGTTCAGTAAGAAAGACACCATACAGCCACATGTAGACGCACACATAGAATAAAAATTCATGCTCAGAAAACTTTGTGGAAATGGGTAGTACAGTATACTATTGCATTAAAATGAATTTTGTTAAACTAGCTAAAGCAGCACATTTCTAAACCTATGAAATTCAACTTCCAGAAAAGCTTCAGCCTCCTGCAACACAAGCTCAAACAAACCAAAGTAACTGAAAAAAATAGTAAAATAAAAAATAATATTCCTTAGAATTTGCTGCAGTCAGAGTCCAGCTTGAATATTCTGTACTAAACATCAATTCTGTAAAGAGTAGATTATTCCTCATTTTCTGAGTTCCAAATGTAAATAATTCAACAGAAAAAAGGAAAGTAGAAGACAAGCACATCAGCCTAAAAGTATGTTGCCAATAAAAATGTAAAGAAAAAAGCCCTTGTGTTGTTTATAACCCTTTAAATGAAACATGATAATAATAATTAAAATGTAATTTATCTTTAAACATTGAAACTGCTTACTTTTTTACGTAAACTCCTATCTTGCGTTCTGATCCACAGACATGGGAACTTGCTGAGACCCTGTTAAGTGTATGGGACTCACCAGGCTCAGCAGTCTTCCTGAGCAGAGAATTGGGTTCTTAGTTTTGACTGGTTGGTTTCATTTGCTGGTGCTTGTGTTGCAGAAACTAAAGGGACATGTTGAAATTTTAGAAAAGTCATTTCTGAATATCACATTTGTATAACCTTTATTTAAATAAAAGGCAGAAAAAATAAACCTTGTGCCACAGGTTATCTAACAATGTCCTTAAAAGATGCTTCCCAAGTCGTATATTTTCCCCACCAAGGCCCTTTGCCCAAGCACTTCATAAAACAAATGTTTACATTAAGGGACATCCAGCAAAATCCTGATTTTTCACTGACATCAATAGCAAAACCTCAGTTGGCATTAGGAAGAGTAAAATGAGACCCAAGTTCTGGGAAACCATCATGTAAAAGAAATATTCATAGTACTGTTTAGGAACCTGACATAGGCAGGTAATGATTTTTTCCTTGAAACATCAGTTGTTAACAATATATATCTGCTTTATAGTGAATATGTATGCAAATTTAATTCCTCCTTACAAGTATATCTTTGATATCTTAAAAGACAGATGATTTTTTGTAACAGAACCGGCAAGCATACATTAATATTTTCTGGCCATAGAGGGGCACTGTCAACCAAGATTTTTTACGGACTAAAACTGAAACGGGGTATTAAGCTGAAAGTAACTGCAGATTGCCGACAAGAATAAAAAATTTTGACATGGAGGCATCACATATATTTTAAGGATAATAACGTTGTTTTTCAGAGTTAGATAAGTGGATGAGAAAGAAGAGTTATTCATATGCTCTGTGTGTATGGTAGAAACAGTCAAAATGGGAGAATTTTTTTCTAAGCAACAACAAGAAAAGTAACAATTTCATAGTCACTAACTTGTTTTGAATATGTAAGATAGATTATTATACACAGTCTATGCATTAAAGAGGATCCCATCTTTGATTTCCCATATGCAATATGTACATGTGGTAATGAGTATAATTATACAAAATCTATGTCTGTTTCCAGTTACCTTCTATTAGGTTAGAAACAAATAAGTCAAAATCTGAAACAGAATTGAAGTCCTTTCTGCAACTGACACAAAATTCAGATCAACTTTATGAATGATTTCCTTCACACCATATGGTCTCCTCCTCCACATATTTTTTGTAGCATTGTGTAATTTTGTGCTATCAGAAAAAAATCATTAGAGCTGGTGAACAAAACAATCTTCAGCAGCCAACAAGATTTACAGTTCTGGTATGGTGCTCATAATTATTATAGAAGGTAAGTATGAGATGGGCAGACCAAAGGAGATGCCATACAGGAGGGACCCTTCATCCCATGTCTGCCACATTTGTGCATTGTTTGGACAGAAGTTCTGCAAAGGAGGTTAGGGAAAGCAAGACGTGAGTAAGTAACCAAGTCCATAAACAGTATGAATCCATGGCATAAAGGCAGCAAAACAACTAAGCAGCATCTGTGTCTGCTCCTGTACTTCATACTACAAAGTATTATTTCATTTTTATTAATTAGCAAGAATGTGATTGGCAAACATTAGATACAATATAAAATAGTGTAGTACCTGATATGAAAAGTTAGGCAATTGAAAGGAGACACAGAAGAACAATGAGAATTTGCTTGAATCTTCCTCCTCTTGCACGCTGTACTTATTTACTATTATTTCTTGTGCCCAGGGCAGAATAAATGAAATGTTTAGGTCAGCTGGAATGAACAGGCTGTGGCAACTTGGCAAAATGAATAGGAAGGACCTTCCAAGCATAAGGGGTGGCACTGACTAGGAGTCAGCATGCAGCTGGCAGTACAAACAGAATTTCAGCAGCATATTGCGGCTAAACGTTCCTTAGTGACATTTTTAAATTATTATTTTAACATGTTTTCCAGTAACCATAATTCTATTGGGAGTTTTTCTCATTTTCAGAATATTTGATCCAATGTTCTGCATCTATTATAGTACTATTTAAAATAAAAACTAAAAGGCCCTTCATAATGCAATAAGATGAGGAACCCAAAATACTTAAATAAACATATAACCTGAAATAGATGTTTGCTCTTCATATATGATTGAGACAATGCCACAATATTTTTCTCTTTATAACTCATTTGCTTTATGAATTACATTATTTTGGGTGGAGATACATTTCACAACTGAAAGAAAATTCTTTGTCTGTTTTACATACACCACCTTCACCTCTGCATCTATCTTTTTTTCATGTATTCTTTGAATGGTTGTACAGAGGGTCTTTTTTACTGAAAAAAATACAGCCTGCAGTCTCCTTAGTTCTCTACTTACAGGTAGCAAAACATGCCATTGTGTTTGACTCAGGCCTCATGTATGGCTATTACTCTGAGGGGGCAGTTATGGAAAACCCTGCTAAATCCTTAGCATCTATGACCCTTTCATTCTTTTTGACTTTCATTGGACATCCTGTTTCACCAGCTCTCACCAATAGACCACTTTTACTCATTAAAAGCAGTACTCACAGCATTACTATTGGCACCCCAGATTACTCTCTGTTCTTTCTTATATTGCTTGAGAATCTCAGCTTCCTTACACATGCCACCTACCTCTGGAGAACTTGAAGTGTGCAGTTACTTCCTTTTGGATCATTTCACCCCTGAAATAAGTTGTATGTAAACCACCTATACATCTAAGCCATCAGACAAAAGCAGAACATCTGAACTAAGCAAGCAGAATGGCTGAACACTTGGCCTGAGAAACCTCCGTTATGCAAAATCTCTTGGGCTTCAAACCACGTTGAAGTGCATCTGGCAAGATCTGTGTTTAAGCTAATGCTGAGCATTTTCTGCAGTTCCATATTGAAGTATCATGAAAAAATATCAGAGGATTAATAGGGACCTCTGCCTTGGAGAATCTCTGTAATGTAAGCCAGACACTGTTCAGCTTCTGAAGTGCAGTAGTTTCACCTACATAAAATAATTATTAAATATTTGGTGGACTACCAGCTCCTGAGAGGAGTTCACTGAAAGAGTTCTTATTTCCAGAGAGGGTGCAGTATTTATTACATGAAGAAAATAGTCCTTTTTCCTTCATTTCACATTGGCTGTACAATGCAGGAAGATGCAATTATATTTTGTTACTTAGGAATGTTATTATTGATCAGGTGAAGGTATTTCTCGGTTCTTTTGAGCATCCAAACTCTACAGTAGAAGGAAAAATGTTGATAAAATCTCTGATCACACATGACTGTTTCAGAAACTTTTGAACAATTGAAAAAGCGGTGGCCTGCTTTGAATAACTGTTGCCTTAGGGGCCCTCGGAAAGGCTGCCTTAGGTCTGGGGAGCTTGATACTTTAAGGGTCTGAAGCCTAAGGCCAGCCTGAATGATGGGACTGTCCCAAAGCTGTGAGAAGACTTCTAAACTCTGTGCCCCTACTCTGCAGTGGGGAGCATGCAAGTCCTATAAGCTTCACTTAGATCCAGCACTTTCAAGCTGTCAGCTTTGGGGCAGGACCGGGAAACATTAGCATGGCTGGGGGCTGTGCGCCATGGAAGCACTAAGGTCCCTGGAACAATGTCAATTTACTTGGCAGGTACTCTAGAGCTGCAGATCCTGAAAGCAATAGGAGCCTCACCATGAATCAAGGTAGGTTCCCATAGGGTTCCTTCCTTTGAGGCAGAAAAGTTCATTGGACCTGAAGTATTTCAGACCAAATATTCCAGGCTCAGTGAATTGGCACGTTTCAATAAAACTGTATTTTAATGAAAATATTCTGGCCAGCTCATTCATTGATGTACATACAGAAGTGAATTAAATGTATGTCACCTACTATACCAGGTGTGTGGTATCAGAATATACTGAGTATTCATCATCATTCCCCTCTTCTCAATAGAGGGTCAGATGTGCTTGTGTCATCTTCTAATAGACTTGAACTGGATGCCTGAAAGAAAGATGCCCGCAGGCAGGCTACTGACTAAAATTAATCAAAAAATCCTGTTTCAAAAGACAAAAACGTGTTTTTTTTCCTTTTATTTCAAAGGTTAGATATTTTATTTTTAATTTTGTATTAATGTGCCTCGTTGACTATTATGGCACCTGTATGTTTGTGCAATACTGGCTATGCATAATAATGACCCTTATGAACAGCGCAAGTTTTAAAGGTCCGATAGTTGCAGAACACCATAGGCTTTTTCCAAAGCAGGTATCTTTTCCTTTCTCCCTTTTAGATGTAGTTAATGAGGTCTGTATCAGCTAATGTAGCCATTTTTGAGCAACTAGAGGTACAGGGATATTTTCAAAATTTAGGTAATATAAATTTTGCTGGGGAATGGATTTGAGTGAGTTGTTCATCTTCAGTTTTGCAGGAGATTCTTCATGTTTCTTTTTGCCATTGTTAGTTTCTTTTAGCTATAGCTTATTCTTCTCGTCTCCCATCACTTTAACTGTATGTATGAATGTGTTACCCCTTCCTATTAATTTACAAGTGAATGTATTTATAGGAGTTAGTTCCATAATAAAATGACTTAATTATGGTATCTTATCAGGGTTGTTTAAAAGTGAAGCAAGGCAGTGTCTAACATTTACATTTATAAGGCTTTTTCTCACACTGACATTACATAGATCATGAGCTCTAGAGGAGTTCATCCAGATTTTCAGTGGTGTAAATGAAATCAGGCCTATACGGTTCAAGACTGAAGGGCTGAGTTTCAACATTTCCTAACAGCTCTGTCCTTTTCCAGGTGTACTGACTATTCCTACACTACTAAAAGACTGATTGTTTAAAAAATACAAAGATAAATGATTGAATTGAACATGTGAAAGGCTGAAACTAAACCAGCACAATAGTACAAGATGAATGGCTGCTGCCTTTTGTATGTAATGTAGGATTAGACTCATTAAAGTTAATAGTGTGAATGACCTTACTCTAACCAACGATGGAAATGACGTTATACTTTTCTCAGGAGAGCACTGAAACTAAAATATGGGAGAAATTATTTTGAATTGGTAATGGATAGGAATGTGGAATCAAATTTCTCACTTTATGCAAGAGGCAAGGCGTTTTGAAAGGAGAAAAAAATAGCTGCTGCATTTGCTAGCTTACTTATTCTCCAGAGATGACCTGGTATAATAATGATCACATACTGTACAGCAGGAGTATCAAACTCATCTGGCCCTATGGGCCTGATGGTGGGCACGGAGATGGTCCATAGGCTGGATCAGACTCACAAAACAGATCATCTGTAAACCCTGGTCCAGATAAAAGATGACTGAAAAAAGTATAATAGTGTCAAATTAGTGTTTATCAATAAACCCTAAAACTTTTTGTATTTTATTGGGATTTCCTTTATGTTTTGAAGGAATAAATTCCCTGCTGCAATATGAAATATTACCAGGAACAGGATATGAAAATTTCAGGATAAACTCAGATACTGGAGAGGTGATGACAACTGCATCACTTGACAGGGAGGCACAAGAGATTTTCAGTATTAAAGGTAACAGTCTGAGAAGTTTATACAGTACTGTAAAATGGGTGGAGGTGCTATGGAGAGTGGGTTCACTTAGAGTGTTATCTTTTATCACTGTTGTTTGACTTAAAAGTAGTATGATGTTCAGGAAGAAAAGCAGCTGTGTATTTTCGTCATAACACATGTACTTTGATTTTCTGATACTGTTGAAGATTCATCATTACACTAATATCACCAATATTAAAATTGGTTTCTATACATTACATCTCAGTGTTGGTTCGAGACAGTGGAACGCCTTCTTTATCCAGCACAGCAACTGTTGTCTGCAGGGTATTAGATGAAAATGACTATACTCCGGAGTTTCTTCTTCCTGTCTTTGAAATTCAGATTCCAGAAAACCAAGAACCTACCATAGTTCACACAGCATTGGCTGTAGACATGGATACTGGCAATAATGGAACTTTGAGATACCAAATAACTGGTAAGTTATGATCTTTAATTAGCATGTGTACAAATGCCAAGTAACTTATACAAATATTTAAGCAGCAGTTCCAGGTTTTAAAATAGTTCTTATATCAGCTAATCCAGCTGCCAGGTCTCATGTGGTCTATCATAAAATCCAAAGACTCTCTTTATTTTGGAAAAGCCCTTCTTCCATATCCTCCATTGATGAGGACTTTCAAATCACCACCTCAGTCTACTCCTTAGATTTAGAAGACCATAAAAGAGAAGTTTCAACTTATAAAGAGGAATTCAGACCTAAATATAGCTTGCAGGTTAAGAGAAGCATGGTAAGCATCTGTAAGTATATGTATGGTGTAATCACCAGAGGAGGAAAAATTAAAAGCATTCAGAAAGTTCTTTTGGATGAGGACACTGTCTGAAGGAGAAGTGCTGAAAACTCATTTGTTTGGGAGATTTAAAAGGAGATGCAGAGCATAGAAAAGTATACTGTAGGGGCCAGTTCCGCACTGGTAGGGCATGGCCTAGAGCAGCATACCTTTGTAATGCCTTCCTTCAGGAAAATGAACCTAATTTTGCCTTTTTTCAGTCTTACCTTGTAGAGTTAAAGGCCTCTCCTTAATTTTGTGCATACTGGGCATTTATACACATGCTCCAGGAGGTGGGGGGAGGAAGGGTGCTTTAATTAGAGTGGCTGTAATTAAAGTGCCCGGAGCATCACGTGTATCAGTGTTCCCATACTGAAAAATGGAGGTAGGGGTGTTTAAAACTCATCAAATGAGTTTTAGTTAAAGCACCCCTGCCATTTTTCAGTATGGAGATGCTGGTACACATGACACTGTAGTCTTCTGAAGCATAGTAATTACCACGCTCTGGCAGACTCAATTAATTGAGTTTGCTCTAATGGACTGTAATTACAGTGCATGGGAGCAGTCTCAATGTATGTGTATAGGGACAGATTCATAGATTCATAGATTCATAGATTAAGGGTCGGAAGGGACCTAGTAGATCTTCTAGCCTGACCCCCCGCCAGGGCGGGAGAACAACAAAAAACCCCAAAAAGAGAAACGGGACTCAAATGAGTCCAGCCAGGTAGGCATCCAGCCTCTTCTTAAAGACCCCCAGGGTAGGGGCCAGCACCACTTCCCTTGGAAGTTGGTTCCAGCTCCTAGCC